TATCGTGTAGGTTTTGTAAAAGATCTATGCAGCATATTGAGGAAAGATCAATTAGTCTAATATCGAATTATCTCATGAAAGAAATGGCACAGCACTGGGTATTGGTGTCACACGCCTTTAATCCCAGCACTTGGGAGGCAGAGACAGAGAGCCAGAGGCAGGTGGATCTCTGTGAGTTCGAGGCTAGCCTGGTCTACAGAGTGAGTGCCAGGTTAGGCTCCAAAGCTACACAGAGAAACCCTGTCTTGAAAAACAAGAAAGAGAGGGGGGGAGGGAGGGGGGAGAGAGAGAGACAGAGAAAGAAAGAAAGAAAGAAAGAAAGAAAGAAAGAAAGAGAGGAAGGAAGGAAGGAAGAAAGAAAGGTAGGTAGGTCGGTCGGTCACAGGATTCTGAACTGTAATGACAGAAACCAGAAAAAGGATCTGAGACAACTTAGGGAAGATTGTACCTGAAGAATACCAGTAAGTTAAGAGTCAAAGTTGAGACAATGATGGTTTCTAGCTTAGGTACTAGAAAACATTTATGCCACATACAAGGTAAGGAATATAGAAAAGCCAGATATGACTAGGTAAAAATTAATTACTAGAAAAAAATGTTAGGGTTATCAAAGAAGGAATGTTTTAATTCAACAACAAAAGCTACCAACACCCAAGACCAAGAAGGTAACCCTTAAAAGAAGACCAAAGTCAAAGAGTTTTAGCAATAAGGCAGATCATAGGTTATCAGACTAAATAGGAAGTAAAAAGAGTATCTGCTCAAGTAAAACTATTCTATGCAGAGAAACATGGGCTTGTAAAACTGTGGGCTAGCAGTTCAGTTTTTGGTCTCAGGATCTGGTCATGCTCTCAAAAGCTATGCTTATGTAGATTTTGTAAAGATTTATTTTTACTTTATGAATATGAGTGTCTGCCTGCATGTACATATATGTACCAAAAGCAGGCAATGCCCAGAGATCAGAAGAGGTCATCAAATCCCTTATAAGCAGCACCATAGGTGCTGGGAATTGAACCATGATCCTCTGGGAAAGCAGCCAAGTATTCTTAACCTCTGGGCCAACTCGTTAGCCTCTGTCTATGTGTTCTTGTCTATGTATATTATATTGGAACTAAAAACAGCCCAAGCTCAGTGACAGAGCACTTGCTTTACCACTCATGAGACCTTGCATTCCATGTCCAGGAATCATACAAATGTATATTTGCTAAGTTCATTTGAAAACACATCACATTTTAATTAAATGATAGGGGGAAGAACCTCTGCATTTTCCAAAATAAAGTTAAGCTTGTTTACAGTGAAGTTTTTGGCAAGCTTCCCACATTTGTTTAGCCAAAGTGTGTTTTGTCATACCTATTTATGCATTTAATTTCTTGCATTACATTATCTTGCTCCAAGAACATGAAATATACTTAGGTTCCAACAGGTATATAAAAGAAGAAAAAAAGGTTTTTTCTTTAAAAAACAAAAAAAGACACAGTGTCTTACTTCACAGCCCAGGCTGATTTCAAAAGTGCAATGTTCCTGACTACTTCCAAGGCACTAGGCCTTCAAGCATGTGCTACCACACCCAACCTCAACTCTGCTTCCTCAAGTAATTATGGGCATTCTGCTTTACAAGTAGTTGTTTCTTTTTCTTTTCTCCCCCCCCCCTTTTTTTTTACCACACTGGTGTTTTGCCTGCATCTATGAATGTGTATGGATGTCAGATCCCCAACAACTGAAGTTACAGACACTTGTGAGCTGCCTTATGGGTGCTGGGAATTGAACCTGGGTCCTCTAAAAGAACAGTCAGTTCTCATAACTGCTGAGCCATCTCTCCAGCCCCAATAGTTGTTTCTTAAAGATTAGTTGCAATGGAAAACCTGAAACCACATCAACCAAGTTTTCAACATATCTCCTTAAAAACCTTTCTATTTTGTTCTTTGATTATCCATGGCTCTTTTTATTTAACTTTATTTTATGTGCTTTGGTGTTTTGGCATAGGCGTCAGGACCCCTGCCATGTGAGTGCTGGGAATTAAACCTGGGTCCTCTGGAAAAGCAGCTAGTGCTCTCAACTGCTGATTTCTCTCTCCAGCTCCTATCCATGGCTCTTTAACACCATGCATTGCATTGATTATCAGGAAATAACAGCTAAGTTATACAGATCTTCCAAATGTGGAGACAATTCATGAAAATACTAGAAATTGCTGGGCGTTGGTGGTGCACACCTTTAAATGCCAGCACTTGGGAGGCAGAGGCAGGTGGATCTCTGTGAGTTCTAGGCCAGCCTGGTCTCCAGCACAAGTTCCAGGATAGGCTCCAAAGCTACACAGAAAAACCCTGCCAGCACTTGGGACACACAAAAAAAAAAAAAAAAAAAAAAAAAAAAACTAGAAATTACATTCACTGATACCATTGTCAATCTTGCCAGACAAAATATATGATGGAGAAAAGCAAAAAGTAAAAAGGATATATACAAAAATTTCTGAGTATTCAGAAACACAAAAACTCATCATTTTGATTATGGGTTTTCAAAAAGCTTTCACTTGATTTATATTGCTGATAAAAATACCATCTATTTTTCTCTTGAAAGTGACAGACTCACTGCATTTACATTCAGAAAATACCTGTGAAAGACTCATATCTGAATAATTATGGTCTTCCAGGTAGCCTTTCAGTTGAAAACAGTGCTTCATGAAAACGTAAACAGCAAGTTGGACTTGCACCAGAGGCAAAAACTAGTGTCTTCCTTCTCTTTGTCTCCCACCACTATACTTGGGCCTTCAGCAGAAGGGCTATAAGTGTACTTCCTATTTTGTCAGACTACTAAGAGGAAAGACTGAACAAAACTAGCCTGTTATCCTGCTTCACCAGGGAGGGATAAGGGGGTACTCTTAGGTGGAAGTGGGCAGGTTATCAGTAGGTGGTGAGGAAGGGTTCTTCTGCTTTGACTCACACTAAAACAAATGTCATTACATACCACTGCCTCTGCACTGTTCATCACACAGTCAACAGTGAAAAGGACAAACAGCAGCTTAGTGCTATTATGAAAACAGCTTGGACGTCACAGACTATTATAAAAGTGCACTTCTATAATAAGAAAGTTCCTCCTTCCACACTCTGAAAATCATTAAGAGATACAATCCAAACACTTAATCCCCTTCACAATTTCCCTATAAACAATGAACTTGTATGAGTTCTTTAGCCCAAGATAAAGAGATGACAAGCCCTTGAGAAAAAGACCCTAAATAACAAGTAGAAGTGTTCTTCAAGTAGTGGAGGATAAGAACTGTGTGTTTCAAAAGAAAACCTGGATCATTAGATGGCCCTTGTTTTGCTTCTCTTATTTCTATAACAAATGTCTAGAAAAATTGGTACCAAACCTCAAACTAACAAATAGAAAGCCACTGTGACAGATAATAGGTACACTGTAATGATCTTCACCTCGTAACAGTTGGTTGCTTTAGACTTTTCAAAATGTGTACTTTACAATTTATTCCTACTTTATAGAAGCTAAAATAACTTTTTACCAGTAGTCAAATCCTAACCATAATACTGTGCTAGCTAGAAGTATGCATACATTTTAATAGATAATTTTCATCTCTTCCGTTCACACTAAAGATATAAAAATACTACCTCATGAAGAGAATTTACTTTTATTTATTCACTTATTTTATGTGTATGAGTGTTTTGCCTGCACTGACGTCTATATACCAAGTATGTGCCTGTTCCTGACAGAGGCCAGAAGAGGCCATCAGAGCCTCTAGGACTGGAGTTACAGATGCTTGTGAGCTGCCAAGTGAGTTCTGGGACTAGAACCCAGGTCCTCCAGAAGAGCAACTAGTGCTCTGAATCGATGAAACACCTCTCCAGCCCCTCACTTACAAAGTTATATATAGCTCAAACTGTTTTGCATCCACAAAACACTAACAAGGGAAACTAAAATTTCCTCACTACCATGAGCAATTATCTCAGTTTTTTTTTTAAATTTTTATTTTATCTGTATTGGTGTGAAGGTGTTAGATCTACTGGAACTGGAGTTACAGACAGTTGTGAGCTGCCAGGTGGGTGCTGGGAATTGAACCCGGGTCCTCTGGAAGAACAGCCAGTGCTCTTAACCGCTGAGCCATCTCTCCAGCCCAACTATCTCAGATTTTATATAACCACAGACACTAAAGAAATGTTGCCGAGTGCTGAAGTTACCATACTCCTTCCTACCTGCCACAAACACTAGCACTTTTTCTACTGTAACATCTTTTCCACATCTTCCCAAAATGAGACCAAGAGACACCTATCCTGAAAAATGACATTACATGTTCTGTTTGAAGGGCTGTAGGACTAGGATGACTTACCAGCTATCATTCAGACAACAACAATCAACTTTGTCACTTTTATTTGTAACTATCTGCTATCAAAATTAAGCAAGAAGTAATTTTCCATTCCTACATGAAGATACTTGTCTCAATTCAATCATGCAGCAATTAATACCGCCATAGGCAATACTAAATACTATCCTGTCTGCAACATGGAACAGTTCCCCGAAGCCCCACATGCTTTTCTTTGTGATACTCACTTTCAAACAAGAGCCAGCTATGCACAGGACTAGGCAGCACCTCTGACAATGTTACAGTAGTGCCTGCTTGAGGGTTTTGGTTTTATTTGTTTCCTTTTTAAAATATTCCCTGTCTGGGGTGGCTCATACCTGTAATCCCAGCACTCAAAAGACTAAGGCAAGAGGAATGTTGTGAGTTCAAGGTTAGCCTGAAGTACGAGGCAAGGCTGACGAAAAAGAATCCTGTCTTTTTGACATCTATCACTGTTTGCATAAAATCATAAAACAGAAATTTAAGATCCTTGAGCTATCTTGTTAGATGTCTAGATTTTTTTTAAAGGACTAAACAAATTTAAACTAAAGTCATCAAAATGAAATTCAAGGATGAAAAGTGGCATAAGCTATGTCCAATCACATTTTATCCTGACATACTTGGTATGTGTATAACCACTCTGTAAAATGACACGACCTACCAAAGATGGAGCCAAAGGAAACAGTCATCTGTTCCAATATAAAGCATCTGAACCAGCTGCTTTAAAAAAAAAAAAAAAATACATATTAGCCAGGCATAGGTGGCACACGCCTTTAATCCCAGTACTCTCGAAGCAGGTGGATCTCTGAGTTTGAGGCCAGCCTAGTCTACAGAAAGCAAGTTCCAAGGCAGCCAGGGATATACAGAGAAACCCTGACTCAAAAAAAAAAAACAAAAACAAAAACAAAAACAAAAAAACTTACAGATCTATGTATACATATTTAAGTATATATCCATTCCAGTAAAATCTTCAAAGAAGTACCATGAACCCATCTTCTGTTGCAACAAGATGTTTCAGATGTCTAGAATGGCTTAGGCTTGGCCTCACATTTGGCAACTAAGATTCAGTTCAGAGGTCTTTCTGACCCAAGGGATTCAAACACTGGCTATGGTCACACAAACAAGTCATTAGCAAGCCTCAGCCCTACCCCCTGCAGCTACCCACTCCTGCTGTGGTTCTTGACAGCCTTATTCTTTAAATCACTCTAACTGCCAATAAAACATGTCATCTGGTGGGAATAATTTCTCCCAAACACTGAAACTTTGGCTTTGCATCTGTGTTCTGCAGTCCTCCAATCATGTTTTCCGATTGTTTCCAACAAGGAAATATTCTGCGTGTAATCAGTATCTACTTATTAACAAAGCCCTGTTCTACTGTGCTGTCCAAACATGGATTCCACTCTCAATTTCAGAAACAGCAAAAGGACAGGTAACAGGTAACAGAGAAATGAGAACCCTTATAGTTAATTTAGGGCCAAAGTCAAAAGAGAAGAGGCAATGCAGACAGAATACGAACAAAGCTGAGAGGGTCATAGAGCAGAACACTTACTTTTAGGAACAGAGTGTCCCTTAGACTTCTGGTGAGTTGCCCAGAGCCTCTTCAGTTTCAATCCAAATGACAATGCTTCTCTGAGTCCTCCTCAAGTAATGCTTCCACCACTAAAAATTGGAACTACAAGAACTCAGATATACTGGTAAAAAAAAAAAGTGTCAGGACCCCCAGGTGGGCCTCAAGCCTCTTTTAAAGTAGGCCCACTTCTCTGTTCTGGGCCAACTCCCCTGGATACTATACCCTTCTTCCAGATGCCAGCTACTCAGCCTGCTGCTTCTCTTCTGAGTGGCACCACCTACTCTATTTCTCAGAGTTCCTCTAACCCCAAGACTGGCTGTGGAGTAGGACACCAGCTTCCCCCCTTCCTTGCTGTCCCTGCAAATAAACGGATAGGCTCTTCTAATTCCAGTATTTCTCTGATAGCTAGCTACAAGAGAAGAGAGGGGAAAACAAAACAAAAAAGCAGCAATATACTAGCAGAGATTAGGATTATAGTAATTGTCTCTACTTCAAAATGCCTGCCTCCAAAAAGTCAAAAGTTCTACATATTGCTTATTTACAAATATGCAGACATACAATCATATGCTAAGCTATTCCATCCTTATATAGACATAAAGATACACCCTGCTTTTCAAAATGCTTATAATGCGAGCTCAAAAGAAGCAAATAGTTTCTCCTTTTAGAATCTTTCCTTTAACTTACAGGGTATTTTAAAACTTGTTTTTTAATAAACATCACAAAAGGCTGAAAATATGCTATCTAATGTAAATGAGAAGTCACAGTAAAAGCCTACTGAGATTTGCAAGACAGGTATGTCAAAAGCAACTAGTATTGTAGAGACAATAAAATTCTAACATGTCTTTATACTTTTAATAAAATTCTATGAACTGCATTCAACACTTTTTAGAAATAACTTGAACTGACTACTTAGGGTATGTCAACATTATATAGGCCCTCTTTCAAGCAACAAGAAACTTACTGTAGCAATATGTATTTTAAAAGGCTTCAGAGTATCAAATAAATATCAATATTGCTGCAAATCACAAAACTCTTAAGAAATGAATTCAAAAGCTACCTTTCTGCAAAGGAACAATGACCAAGTGTGGACAGATCAAGAATGCCACTGACTTTGAATTTCCTAGTCTTAATTCTTTTAAGTGTTTTGTTTTAAGGACGATTACAATACTCTGTCTACTATACAACAAATTTAGGGCTTAAAACAGGCAAAGATCACGAAATCTCATTTGTCTCGAGATATTCAGATAACCCGGGGTAAAAATGTGTCCCTAGGTTGGCCTCCCAACTACTTAATTGTAAAATATTACAGAAACGGAACAAAAACAAGACGCAAAACCTTGGCCTGACCCTCCCGGACATACATCCATGACTAAGAAAGTAAGTTTAACCTATTCGGAATCCTACAACGAGATACTTTTTCCGCCCCCACCCCCGAGGGTCGAATGACATCGCGGC